CCCCAAAACCCCAAAACCCCAAAACCCCATCTATAGAGGATATAAAGAATTGGTATGATTAAGATAATGCATAAAATATCATTTAGAAATATCTACAATTATTAAATTAAATTAATTGTAACAAATTAAATGAGACATCGATACTAATTTTACTTCATATTTATTTTCCTGATTCTCATTGAAATATCTTAACAAACCCCGAAACCATAAGACAATCTTTAAAAAGATTTAGTAACCTTCTTGATATATGGAGATGCAAATATTGATGATGTCTAGTGATAATTAAATTATATAAATAGCTTGCCATTTTAAATGCATGAAGTTCTTGTTGTAGTAAAAAATTAACAAATGATTGACAAAGTAAGTTCTAATTTCAAAAATGAAGAGAATATCAAATTCCTTGAGAGCTTAGATGTGGAAGATTTCGCAAAGATTCTATAAACTCATTATAACTTTGTAAATGGAGAGTATATAGTCTTAATTCATGCAAAAACTATCAATAAAATGGATAGAACTAAAGAATAGATTAGTTAAATGAAAACTTATTCATGTAATGTAATAGTATCAGATATAGATATAGTTAATGAAGTTGGTGAACTCTTGGACAACTCATACTTAATTAATATCGATTATGCCAGAAATCTTGACCAAATCATATTTAAATTAGATTTCAGATTTGAAGCCTCTCTTATGATAAGGAAGGGATATTTAGCATAATTTATGAGAAATTCAACTTAATTAAACAGATATTATCTGGTAGATTAGATTGTGAAGGATGATCAAGTTTGTCATATGAATGCTTCATAGATATAAATCTCCCTAATTAATTATCAAGAAAGTTATATTGACTCAATAAATAGACTTTAACAAGATTCTTTAAAATATTTGCAATACAATGCTTTCTTGAATGATAAAAATATAAGAGTCACAACATAACAATTTTTTAAAATCATAAACTGTACTTTCGATTTCTTAGGTTGTGACGAAGAAATTCTTGATATAATTGGGCATCTTTTGATAATGAATTATTTGACTGACAGATAATTGCAAGCACATCATCTTAAACTAAAATACCTTAATCAAACTGATTTCATTTTCAATTATCTTACAAAATTAAAGAAAGTAAGAGAAAATTTAATTGAATATCCATTAGTCTCGGTGATAATGGCTTCATATAACAGAGATTACTATCTTTTGAAATCAATTTAGTATGTTCTTTAATAAACCTATGTTAACTGGGAGCTTCTTATTTCTGATGATGGATCTAATAATCCAAAAACTCTGCAAATTCTTCAGCTGGCCTAAAATCATCCAAGGATTAGAGTGTTTTATCTATACACAAATTAGTATAATGTATTTGCATATAATCATGCTATTACATAAGCAAGGGGAGAGTATCTAGCAATTCATGATGATGATGATATTATGATGCCGTATAGATTAGAATATCAAGTAGATTATCTACGGAAAAACTCAGAATATGAAATATGTGCAGCAGGTTTTATACACGCGTCTGAGATAGGTAAGCCATTTGCCTATGGTTCAAATTATGAGAGAAGTTTTGCTGATACATATTTCTCATTTCTAATCCAAAATCATGTAGCTCACAGTACTATAACTGTTAAGTTAACACAGAGAATGAAATAGCATTTTATTTACAATCATTAGACAGCCTGTGATTATTCTCTTTGGTTAAAACTACTTTTTGAGCTTAATGAGGATATTAAATTTGCAGTATTGGGTAATTATGTAACTGGAATAAGGTATCATAATAAAAGACTCACTTACTAAAACTATGAAGCATCTCACTACACGAAATGGATGCCATTAAAATAAATTGAAATTGCTGAGAAGATATATCCAGAGATTTTCGATAGAATGGGAGCGTAATGCTTTTAGAGATTATTTTATACACTTAGATTTGATTCAGGAAATATCGAGGTCTCCTAAGATTAAGATATTCAGACATATTTTATCTCAATCTTAAAAGCCCTTTAAAAATAACCATCTATGTCTTATTAAGATATAAAATCATTTGATAGAACGTTTAACTAATTATATTAAGGATACATATATTCTCTCAGAAACAACATGATTTCCATAATGCCTTCAAAAAGAACATTTGCCTGTATATATCATCATGGCAACATTCAACCATTACTTATTCATATTGATCAATTAAAAGTTTATGTTGATTATTTCATAGTAATTTACTTAACAACATCGGCCGAATCAGTGAGAATAAAAGACCTTTAAAAAAATAAAGTTATTAAAGATAACAAACAAAAAATATCTTTTGAATTAAAAAAAGTTTCAGTCGAGCAGGTTGAGACGTACAAAAAAGAAGTTAATGATGAGATGTTTCAATTTTTTGTAAATCATCTAGTTTAATAGAATATATCGTACCATGAATATGTCATTATAGCTTAGTCTACTGAATTAATAAATCCTTACTAGCTGAGAAGATTCTAAAAGCTAAATACAGATTTCGGTATCTTCGGATTAAGAAAGCATTTTTCTAGACAAAATTAAGATAATGAACAATATATAAGATCTAAAATAATGACATATTAACTATTTGAGAAAATGGGATTTAAGAAAGCCAGAGATTTTGTTATAGATCCAGATATTTTTAAATAAATAAACTAACCAGTTTTCGAGGATAAGCTTTAGACCTTATTTTTTAATGATGATTACTATAATATTCATACAATGAAAGATGCAGGTATCTATTTCGAGGATTATGATTGTGGAGATCTTTATAATGATTAAAATTTATCAAGCATTAATAATGCTAAGACTTAATAAGAAATGTCGTTCGCGGAAAAAAGGAAACTTAGCAATTTTTATGGAACTATTCAAGATTAACTAAAGTCTTAGTGTCCAATAAAACATAAAAAAGTTTCAAGCAGACCATATACTGAGCTTTGATTAATTACTAATAATTTCAATTTTATAATTATCTTTACTTAGAAAATAAGATATTAAACTTATGGGGTTTTGGGGTTTTGGGGTTTTGGGG